AAGAGGCAGTCAATAGTGAAATAGAATCCATATTGAACAACCATACATGGGAATTGGTTGATCTTCCTCCTGGAAATAAACCATTGAGTTCTAAATGGATCTTTAAGAGGAAAATGAAAGATGGTGACACTATTGACAAATAAAAGGATAGACTTGTAGTCAAAGGGTATAGACAACGAGAAGGCCTTGACTATTTTGATACATACTCTCCAGTTACAAGAATTACGTCCATACGAACGTTAGTAGCATTAGCTGCAGTTTATGGTCTTGAAATCCATCAAATGGATGTTAAGACAGGCTTCTTAAATGGAGAGTTGGAGGAAGAAATCTACATGGAACAACCTGAAGGGTTTGTGGTTCCAGGTAAAAAAAAAGAAGGTTTGTAGACTTGTCAAGTCCCTCTACGGATTAAAACAAGCACCCAAACAATGGCATGCGAAATTTGACCAAACAATATTGTCAAATAGATTTAAGATATATGAATGTGATAAATGTGTATACATTAAAAATGTTCCAAATCACATAGTCATTGTTTTCTTATACGTGGATGATATGCTCATAATGAGTAATGACATTGCCAACATAAATGCTACTAAGCGTATGCTAACTAGCAAGTTTAATATGAAAGACCTGAGAGTTGCTAATTTAATTCTAGGAATTAAGATCCAGAAGACTTATCAAGGTCTGGCATTGTCACAATCTTACTATATGACAGTACTTGAAAAATTTAAGCACTTGGGCTTTAAAGTTGTAAAGACTCCAATTGACGTGAATCTTGCATTAGCAAAGAACAAAGGCCAAAGCATATCACAGTTGGATTATGCTCGTATGTTGGGTTGCTTAATGTACATCATGAATTGTACACGACCAGGTATATCTTGTGCTATAAGTAAATTGAGTCAATATACGAGCAATCCAGGTCAATCTCATTGGATGGCAATGAAATGAGTTTTGGGATATTTAGTACATACCCAGGACTTTGCTTTGCACTACACTAAATATCATGCGGTCATTGAGGGATACTATGATGCAAATTAGATCACTGGATCAACTGATTCCAAATCCACAAGTGGATATGTATTCACTATTGGTGGATGAGCGGTATCTTGGAAGTCGTCCAAACAAACTTGCATTGCCAGCTCTACAATGGAGGCTAAATTCATAGCTTAGATAAAGCCGGTGAAGAAGCTGAATGGCTCCGGAATTTCTTGAAAGATATTCCATTTTGGCTCAAACCGTTGGTACCAATATGCATACATTGTGATAGTCAAGTGGCAATTGGAAGGGCTGGGAGCGTTATGTATAACGGTAAATCTCGTCATATACGACGAATACATAAAACCGTTAGGCAATTACTCTCTAGAGGAATTATCACGATTGATTATGCAAAGTCAAGTGATAATGTGTCGGATCCACTTACAAAAGGCCTAACTAGAGAGGTAGTTGAGAAATCATCAAGGGGAATGGGGCTATGGCCGAGAACAAGTCATTGTGGCAGTAACTCTACCTAGAAGACTGGAGATCCCAAGATCTAGGTTCAAGGAGATCAAACAAAGTCATTAATGACGGTTCAACATTGTCAACTAAAATTTTGGTCCATTCTCGTGATGAGACAATGTTCAGTAACAAGGATAAAGCATTAAGTCTTTTTAATGATTTCTAAATTTGATACCGGGTATATCAAATAGTGTATCTACGGGATGACACGTTTAGGAATCACCTATGTAAGTGTGAAGTGTTAGCCGCTTCAAGGAGAATTTTACAAGGCCAATTTTCTATGCACTTATGAAACCAGGCGGCGTCCATGGCTGAAACGAACACAACAATGAGAACCAAAGACGGTTAAGGGTTGGTCGTGTGACTTGTGGTTGTCTAGGTATACACCAAAGTTCGACGGTTCAAAGATATCAAATCTACCGATTGATCGAGTATATCCGACATAAGTTCACTACAGAAAGTTCAAAGGGAAACCTACTTATTCAGATGCAATTAATCCTTGCTTGCAAATCACACAGTTTTTCATGCATACTTCCGTGATATAGCCATTCCCCATTCATGTGGGGGATTGTTGGGTTTGTTATGTATTTAATATATTAAATACATAACAAATGGTGAATGGGAAATGGAGGGAAATGAAATTTTTGAGTGAAATTTTAAGTTCCCCCATGGCAAATGGACATTGTCCCATATTGGAAGAGGAAGAGGTTTTTTAGGGGTATATAAACAATTGCTCTTCTTGTATCTTTTAAAGAGTTGAGAAGAAGGCAAGCCTCACGCCGTCGTCGTCGCTCACTCGGCTCGACTTCGGCTTCGGCTTTGGATTTGGATTTGGATTTGGATTTGGTCAAATGATTGATTGATTAACTTTTTGGATCAAATTTATTTGTTAATAGTAAATATTAACAGAAATGTTATTAAATATTTGTTTTAATAACAGAATATTAATATTAAAATAAATATTAATATTAAATCCTCCAATCCGTTTTTTCTGTTTTGGTAACAGAAAATTAACTGCTCTCTTCAATTTTTCCTCTTTATTTTCCCTCTTTATTGTTGAGTAAATAGTCATTTATGTAATGGCACTATGGCCGTTTTGCATAGACATCAATTCTGAAAAGTTGCACCTCTTTAGATTTCAGCCCAACTTAGGCTATAAATACAAGACTATTCTGCTCAGAATTTCGATACAATTTTCTGAGTTTCTTCTCCTTCTTCTGCATAGTTTAAAAATCAAACAAAGCAATAGTAAGAGTGATTTGCTACCGAACTTTGTGTTCGCTGAAACACTGGGGTTTGAAGTACTACTACACTAGTGTGTAATTCGTTCTATCATGAGAGAAAATAATCCATAACCTTGGGTACTAGGAGGGGATTAAATTCCTTAAGGAAACACTGTGAATTCAGTGGACTCGAATTGGTTTTCTATTATTTCGTTGTTCATTCCTGTTTATGTTCATTTCTGTTTATGTTCATTTATATTTCCAGAATTATTTTACAAATACAGTATACTAATAGACTCTATAGTATTTGTGTGGTTATAAAAGCTTATCACTAAAGTATAATTAGAATTTTAAGCTAAATTATTTTCAAATTTAAAAAGGGATCATTCTTTTTGGAATGGACCAAAAAGGAAATAAGTTCACTTATAAGTTGTAACGAGGAGAGTATAATTTAAAATTTCATGATAGTGCCTATTTGTCAACTATAGAGGCTAAAAGGTGGCTATTTGTGAATTTTATCCAATTTAAACAATAGCCTTTTATGCAAATGCTCTGTTTATAGAGCTCGAGATTTCACAAGGTCAAGGCTCATCTCATTTCACTTGAATCAGTTGCTTGTAGTTCAATCTGAATTCCATCAATTTCTCTCTTATATCTGTCATCTGAACTAGCATATACCATCTTCCTCCTCACCCTTAACGAATCTTGAGACCTATATTTTGCACTTTGCTTGTTTGAAAATGGAAGTGTTCACAGTGGCGGTTTTTATATGTGAATGGACTGAATCAGTGTTTTCATGGTGGTAAATTGTGGACTGCCTCATTTCTTACAGGGAGACAACCTTCATTTTTGGTTCCTAAAAGAGTAATTTTTTTAGCTCAACAGCCTCGATCTTTAACTACTTGATCAAAAGAAATGAAGAATTCTACTGGATAGCAAGAACATTAAAGATGCTTACCATGTGTTTGAGGAATGTTCACAGTGAAAATTCATAAGCTACGCATAGACCGGATAGCAACAGACTCTAGTTATGATGCTTGCCGAGAAACATAGGTTAGTACTCCTGGGACCATTTTGTCATTTGTTTGTCTTTGTTCTTTTTATACTCCATTACTTTGTGTTGCATTCCAAATACTTGATTAGTTTAATCATCTGGTCAAGTGAATTATGGCTCAAGAAATAGATTTATACAAACTTCTATATTTACAAAGGAAAGAGAATAACTGATAGAATCATTTTCACAAAGAGTGACCCCTAATCTTATCAAGATAAACCACCTTTGCTCCTGCTACTCTATCTTTTTTTGGCCAAAAACCGACTTGTGTATAATATTCTCCAAGTAGTAACATTTTATAATACTTCGCAGTGTGGCACCTCACAGTGTATTCTACTGCGTACGACAAAGACTAAACCAAATTACTAGATATCTAATTATTACATTCAGCCCAAAGCTTACACTACATAACAACTCTACAAAGGGGGCACATACTTTGTTTCAGGTCCACCGTAAAACATATAATGCGGAAACTGTCCAGGTCCCCAATTTGGTTCATCAGTAACGTGGTACAAATAGCGACTATCAATAAATATGGGTGTGTTATTTGCATTTATCGTCACGCCTTTATCATCTAAAACTATAAGTCCCCTACAGTAAGCATCAAGAGAAGGATCTGGTTGATATTGATCAGGAAAAAAGCTAGAGCCCATTGCAGGATAAGGTGCACCTGGTGGAGTATATGTCACCCCTCCCCACTCAATATTCGTAGCAAAGTCGTTTGCTAATGCAGTGAAAATTCCTGGAGGCCAAAACCCAACTGCTGTCTGATTATCTCCAATCAAAAGCCACCAATTTCCATTTGCTAGATCCTTTAGTTTTCAGAAGGAGATGTATGTTAGTATTTTTAAAACGCTTCAAAAATCTAATCTAAAGAATTACTGAAAAAAACTTAATAAAGTAGACAAAAAGATACATAAATCTTACACGATCAATGTACATAACAAACTCCCACTGTTGATCGTCCCCTCGGTGAGTAATATGTTCGAATTCAGAATCAAGATATATGTCATTGTTTACTATTACAAAACCAGGACATAGTGTGTTGAAGCAATGCACATTTCCAGCCTAAGAAATATTTAAAAATTCATGAACCATTATCTGTTGAGGTGAACAACTAATAAGTTAAAGATACTAGTTTCATGAACACAAAGATAGAAATCATTTAATGAAGTACCCAAGAGACTTACTTGGAAATGTATAAAAAACATAGTATGATTATTTCCATATAATGCTGGATCCACCTAAAACAAGAAATAAGCTGTTATAACTATTGAGTGAAAGTTCAATGATGGAAATCCCAGAGGCATAAAATTCAATCCCCATCGCGATCTCCCGTTCCATTTCCTTTTCTGTATCTGTCCTCTAAAATTTTAAAATTATTGTAAGTAAGAAATTAATTAAATTATTAATAAATAAGGGGTTAAACTTACTCTCCATCCAACTTGCATACTATCTTGTCCTTTTTGAATCTTCAATCGGCATGCACTATTTTGTTGACCTTCAACATAAGGATTCCATAGACTAGCTACCATTCCAGCTCCCGCAAATTTGTTATTTGGATCACTTGGAGTATGAACAATTGCACGCTGCATATAAAAGATAAAAATTTACCTTTACTCGTTACATAGATTATCCAAATTAACTCTATGTTTATTCACTTGAAATTTTAGGTGGAGCTGATAGGAAGTGGTCAAATGATAAATCCATAACACAGAAAATGAATAAAAAAAATATCCAATTCATGTACCCTGTATCCTCCAGTTGTCTCAAGAATGTTGTTAGTCTGCACAATACAATAAAAAAAAGTATGTCGGATTTATACTTGAATTGAGTGTAATATTATCTTATGTCAATCTAATTGGGCTTCGTTTTTGTACATTATCTATTTTGTTGTCCAGAAATGAAGTTATCAAGAAAGTTGTGAATTGGTGTAATATATTATCTTACATTTTCTGGCGGTGGCATACGTCTTTGTCTAATAAGATCATCTCTGGTAACTCTTTTGATGGGAACAGTTCCGGACGGACAACCTCCATTCTCTAACACTTTCCTTGAAGATATATCAACAGTTGAGGTACTTGATATTTGATTTATCGTTGATAAAGTGGGTTTCATCTGTCAATCCAAAACTTGTTTAAATTATCTATTAACATTAATACTTCATCCATATAAAGTTGAATACACAAAAAGAAAGTGTAAATACATACCTCGGGATGAAAATTGTGATTCTTCAATGCTGGATGATCAAATGCAAGTTGTTTGTAGAAATCCACACAATCGTATGTAACCCCCCATTCAGTCTGTGAGCAAAAAATTCATAAACTTTAATATTGGTTGTACTATTCAAGATCATGCTTTTGAAATGTAATAACTTGTGAATAAATAAAAATATTGTAGAATAAAATGGTTGGTAGTAAATAATAAGCAATGCTTCATCTGTCTAGCAGTTTACCATATCTGACTTTCAAAATGAATATATATAGGCTTTTGTGAAATGAGTTATATATTGTGCCTTACTTTTCTAATAACAAATTTGTGAATAAGTCAAAAATTATAATTTAGAAATTTCACGATTTTCAACTACAACATAAAATACGAAAAAAAGTATGGTAAATATTAAGTTGTAAATACTCGGTTTACCGACATTTAACTTGATTGTTAAAATTCTTCATGGATATTATGAGATGGAAGGGTATTGTATTTTTTTTTATACAAAGTGTATATATTAGCATAAAACAAGAATCATTAAAGAGCTTATTAAAGAAATATCCCAAAAATGCATACCTTGATTGTTTTGACCGCTGGTTTGTTCAAAAGTTTAAGTTGCTTCTCTAACGCTAGTTCCTCTAGTTTGGACAGCTTCATTTCTCCTTGAACTCCGTCAAAACTCAGAAGAAAATAGAGTACGAGCGAAGTTTGTAGTACATTTCTTTGATGAATCAACATATTCTGAATTCTAAAAAAATTATCGGCAACTGCTGAATACATGTAAATATGACAAACTAATATTAAGGAACCAAAATTAAAACAAAGCTATAATCACGTTCATTGCATGCTTGCAAATATTATCATTTTTAGTAAATGAGGACAATATACTATCACTACACTGTAACTACTGATATTCTAAAGTTATAAGAAAATAGCCAGAAAAATGATGATTTATAAAGCACAAAAAGAAGTGTCAAAAAGTCACCTTCAGATCTTGCACGAAGCTATGAATGCATGTGTTTTTGTGTCTTGGTGATGAACTGTTCTATGAATTTATAGAGAAATAATGAGAGAATCTGTTTGAAAGTTTTGCATTAACATTTAATTAAAATTAAGTAACGGATATGAAGGGAGAGAAAAAGGAAAGAATTTTCTTACTTAGTCAAATATATTCATATCTTCCTCTTAATGTACATATATTAGTATTTCCTTATTTGTTTTCTTTGCTGAATCTTTGTTTCCTTTTATTGTCAGTGTCCTCTTTTACGTATTAATGACTACAATTAAATGGCAACTTTAGTTTTAAACTGTTAATATATATTGTAGAATAAATTTAAGGGAGAAATAGGTAAAGGAGAAATTATGCGAGACATTTCCTTACCAAGAATCCTTAAAACTACGTTTCTGAATTTCAAGCTAAAAGAATCGACTCGATTCACAATAATCAAACTAATAAGAAAAGAAAACTCCAAATGGAAAATTACTTGTAGCTAGCTTAAGATTTGAGATGAACATACAGCAAAGATCGATACACATATAATTAAGAAAATTAAATATTTATTAATTTTGTTATTTCCAAATCTTTTCTGAGTTGTAGAGAGCTTAACAAGGTCTAGGGGACTTGGAATGTAGCATCCACTTAGTTTGTGAATCAAAAGCAGAACCAAATTGCAGATGAGGGGTTTATATGAACTATTTTCACTGTATGACATTTTATAAAGCCACGCTTTATTATTATTTTTTAATTTCTGTTAGCCGAATGGGTTGAAATTTTCTTTTTAAAAGTAATTGGAAGAATCTTTTTATTTTTTTGCTGATAAAAATTAGTACTGAGTAACGTGGGACAGAATTTAAAACAATGGCCTAAAGAAGCCAGTCTTGTTTATATTTGAAAAATAATCATTATTATGAAGTTTCCAATTCCATAGGTGAAGCTCCTCGATATAAATATCCTAAATTTTTAAAATGGCCTTTTACACAAATGCTCTGCTTATACAGCTTGAGATCTCACGAGGTCAAGGGTCATTTCACTTCTTTTTTGGTTTCCCACCCGCAGTGGAGCCTGACTATATTCGGATTCGCGCCGCGTAGGGCCCCATTGGGGGGAAGCGCTCCCTACCAAGAATTTTTCCATACCGAGGGCTCGAACCCGAAACCTCTGGTTAAGGGAAGAGCAATCTCATCCACTGCACCACATCCTTTGGTGGTCAAGGGTCATTTCACTTGAATCAATTGCTTGGTGGATGCCATTTGAACAGAGAGTCGTTTAAATTCCTCCTGAAGCCGCTCCGCTGTACTAGCATTTTGCCATCTTGTCTTCCTCAATGCTTCTTCAGCTCGTATTGCTCTCTGCTCTTGTTCAACTTTATCACGAGTCAACGAGCCTAAATCAGCTTCAAATCCCTGGGCTTGCTTTTCCAATTCTTCCTCCAAATTCCTCACTTGAGCTTCGAGTTCACTAATCGTGACCAAAGAGTCAGAGAATTCGTCAGATTGCTTCTTCAGCTCGTTCTCCAAGCTCTCGATCTGGGCTTCCATTTGACTTGCAGTGGCATACGAAGAGGAACATTCATATTGCATCTTTAATTGTTCTCATAGTCAAGGGCAAGTTGCTCCATCTGCATCTCTAAATCGTCTCTGTCTCTTCTGTAGATCTCAATTTCACCATGCAGGTCCATGATTTTTTGCTCTAGCATGTATGTTTCCTTGGCATCGCTATGCTGTCTCACAAGCTGCTCAAGTGCTTTTTGCTCTTCATCACTCATTTCATGCTTGGAGTTGGAGATAACATCTGGAAACTTGTCAGCATCATCGCGTGTCGTTGATTTGTTGGACAGGTTAGTGATTTCTTGGTTTTTCTGTTCCAACATCTCATCTAGATCTTGAACAGCAAGAATTAGTTCAGAATAAGATTCTTGTGTCGTCTGAAGTTGTATCTGAAGATTTGCATTCATGTCCGTGTGATAATTCAACTCTTGCCTAAGCTCATCTACAAGAGCCTGAATATCCCCATTGTCGTAAAGCAACTTGTCTTTGGACTTTGTCTCGTCCATACGTTTCAGTGAGGCTTTAAGTTTATTGCATTCTTCCTTGAGAGCATCTCGTTCCTCTTTCAAACTAGCTACCTCTTTTGAGAGGTCCTGTCCCCTTTTGCTCTCCTTGACTATCTGCTTCCGAAGAGTCTGTAGTTCCAAATCCGACATGTCTGCTTGCCTAGCCATAGCTATGAGCTCAGTTTTGAGCTTTTCAACAACATCTGTACTCACGTCAAAAGCAGAACCTCCCATCCACTCCCATTGTGCATTCAGACTTTCTTCATGAACTGTCGTTGAGACATTGGTATTTTGCTTCAGGGGAACCAAAGCATTACTCAGAGAGGACGGAAAGCTTATTTGCTCGTGATGAACCGTGTTGTTCTTCAATGCCCTGAGCTGCTTCCGGAACTGGACAGGGTAATATCAGATTCGCTTGATGTCCGGCAGTTGCCGTTCTTTCCACCATTTTGTGATGTAGGTTTGTTGGCCAGAGCATCCTGTCAAATCCAAGGAAAAATAATGACACGATCTTGTCAGCAAATAATCAGAAAACCAAAAACGAGGCATAATTTGATTGAATGATATTGATATATACACAAACACACACGTGCGTGAGTTATCAGTCAACAACCACGTGCAATAGCAGCAGGCTATGAGAAATTGCTCCCAAAATCTATGATCAATAACAAATTGCGATATGCAAGCTTTAAAATATTCGAACTATGACAAAGTCTGAGGATATGATCCTTAGCTCAGATGACATGAATCAGACCGAGGTCTTAATTTGTTTACCTCAATAAAATTGTCTTTAACTATTGCTTCAAAATCATCATTGCTTAATTGTGATCTCAAGCTTCTATCCAGAGAATTAAGTTTTGCAGTTTCGATTTCTTCGACAACACTGTAAAAAGCAAAAACACCAAAAAGTGGGAAATTTTGTTAACTTTAGGCAATAGGCAATCAAGTACTAAAACACACACACAAAAATCATTGATAACACCTTTGATCAGCAGAATCATCTGAATTGAAACCTACAGTTCAACAATAGCAATTGGAAACTAATTACACAATTGCAAAGAATTTATAAAATATCAATCCTAATAATTTTCTAGCAAAGAGACTTACATGCAACACAGCTTCAGATTTAGAATTTTTGAGAGGAAGAGACACCAAGGAAACCTTAGTTGCATCTGCATAACTCGAAAAGTCAAACAAAGCTTCGCCAACAACTCCAGATTTTGAAGAACCCTACAAAGTACACATCCAAAAACTTAACAAAACTCGTGGTGTTTGTTGATGGATTTGTGTATCCAAAAAGTTTTGAAAAATTGATGAGTCATTACCATTGATATTTAGTCCTAGAACTTCTTTTTCACCTTTTGTATACATCACTTGAGATTTTGGATTAGACCAACCTGCAAAAAATGGTGACAAACAAAAAAATAGCAGCAAAACTTAGTTGCCAAGTTAAAACTTTGTTTTGTTGCTAAAGAAAATCCAAGCCTTTGTACCTATAGAGATATATCATTGCTGAGCTAGAAATAAGTAAAAAATAAAAATCTCTGTTAAATAAAAGTTGAATGAAAAATGTTTTAGCAGTAGTAACAGAAACAGCTAGCACAACACACACACGGTTGCATTTTATTAGTCTTTATCTTTTAACTTTTATTTTGCTCAACAACCAAATGGATGTTTAGTGAAGGACTTCATTCAAAATCTACACTGGCTTTTCACATTTCTAGTAAGCGCTTGAGCAAGATTTGATAGATAAGGCTAGAAAGACAATTAGAAAAATGAGAACTCGTACCTCTCCCCTGTGCATGTCGTAGAACCTGGAGGTAGAACATCTGCAGCCACCTGTATCCAGTATGAACCAAAAACTTAGAATGCTCTATCACAAAAGTCAATACGAGCTAATATCACATCCGTGTCAAGTCAAACTTGAACGATTAATTGTGCTTAGAACTGGAGCCGTAACCATGCAATAATACTTGTATGCTCAATTTGTTTTCCTTGTGAACCGATTAATAAGTTCTCAACAGCAGAATAAACTGACTGTCTTGCTGCTGACGTTTACTAAAGTAACTTAAGTTTTGTGATAAAAGCAGAATAAAGATGGCTTGCAGCTGACCTTTCGGGACTCTTGTTCAGACAGCCTTTCTGCATTCTGACTAAGATCTTCTAATCTTCTATCTAACTCCTCTATTTTGTCTTGAAGATCTCTCTCATTCTCCAAAAATGAATTTGTTGAACTCTCAAGTGCACTTTCCTTCAGCTTGATCTGACCCTGCTGGTCGTGGAACAATCGCACAAAATTAAGAGCAGTTGGTATTTCATATACCAATTCACGTAAAATTTTAAGCGACTGGAAACACAAAGGTCCAGTAATAAAGGAAGTACAGACAGTTTATTTCCTAGTAAGATCATAAAGACAACCTATGCATATTGTAAAGTTTGAAAATATGTAAAAGACGACACAGACAGCAATTCGTATTGAAGTTGGAATACATTCAGAAACAGAAAATGCAAGTAAATTACCTCAAGCAACTTTATCTTCTCTTTAAGACTTGCAACCTCTCTTGAGCCTGCAGATGTGGGTATGGACTTGTTGTTCTTTGATGTTGCTTTCATTCCTTTAGAAGCTACTATTCGACGACTGCCATTCTTGAGCTTTTTATCTAAGCTATTCAATGCATCCTCTTTCTACTTTAGATCACCTTTTAATTGAGACACCTGCTTTTTCAATTTTTCTCCACCTCGTCCTCAAACAACATCCTTTTCATTTCATTGCATCTCGATTTAAAGTTATCCATTTCCAAATGCAGTTTCACAGCTAATGCCTCCTTCTCATCCTTAAGAGACCTCATATTGTTTAATTCCTTCAAAGACTCCTCAGCTTCTTTTCTCACTGATGCAAGCTTAGTCTCCAGTTCACTTCTTTCATTGCGACCTTGTTCGACAAGCAATTCCATATCTTTAATTGATGAACTCATTTTATCAGGGAGAAAAAGTAGAATGATACTTTTGAAGACATAATCATACCATTTGCCCTTTTCTCACCCAACCAAGCATTCCCCCTTCTTCTTTTGATGGACAAAGGGAATACTGCACCGCCAGATCACTTAGATCCTCTCCTGAATATAACAAGCAATTCAGTCAGCAATATATCTGAAAGTACAAGCATCAAGAGAAAATTTGTTTTATACTAATGTACTAGTTTTCAAATTTAATCATGGCATTGACTCATTTGATAACTTAGCATGGAAAATTTAATAATGGGTCTTTTCTCATTAAGCAAAAATATTGAAAACTAACCTTCTACAGTTCTTTTCAGAAGCTCCAGTAAAAGTTTCTGGTCATCTTCTTTGACAAGTAAATGCTGTACTAATATCTCCCGACCACCTCCAGAACTCCCTCCAGGACCACTCCCAGCACTATATGAAGCTGAAAGTTACATATTGTGAGATTTAGCAACAGCATGTATCAGAGGATAACAACAACAACAAACCCAGTATAATCCTACAAAGTGGGGTCTGGGGAGGGTAGTGTGTACGCAGCACCCCTACCTTATGGAGATAGAGAGGTTGTTTCCTATCAGAGGATAGCAAAAAGAAAAGAAAAAAAAAACTCTCTTCACCCTTCAGAATCTAGAACAACCAGTATACAATCTCAAAATCCACAGGACCTCAGACAGGTCAAACTGATATAATAAGTCACACTCACATTTCTGATGAAGCCACTTTTTGGTAATATGCCAGTTTCATCAATGGTTAAGTCACAAAATCCCAGTGCAACAAACTTTCTTGCTATCGTTGGTGTCTCGATGTTCTTTGTATTGTACTCATCGAACTCCTTCAACTGCTCAACGAAAAACCAAGAACACATTTTAGTCTTTGAATCACGAATGTAATCTTCAAATCTCGAGATGAAAATCCTTTCGCTCCTTCATATGCAAAATATTCACTTACACAATTGAGGCTGTTATAAAGAGATTTGACCGTATATTGACAGTTAAAGTATACTAAACAAGTTGTTCCCTAACTTCAGGATATACTAAACCTCAATCTATTGACAGAATTACAATCTGAAACAAACAATATGTTTCTCATTATAATATTTACCTGTTATACAGAGCTGCTCCTCATTAACTGCCTGCTACTTCTTTTTACTCTTTGACTCTGATGTGTTAGCTGAATATGCCTTAAGCCTTGCTGTAGATAGCTTATACTCAGCCTTTTTCTTTCGCCACCTACTTTGCCTCGATTGTTTGCTTGTACCATCTGTCTCACCAGCAAATTTTTCCTTGTTATCAAACTTAGGCTTCTTTTCAGCTTTTGGTACATCTGATGTTTCTCCTTTAAGTGTCTTTTTAACTTGATGAGTTTTAAGAAGGGGTACTTTCCATTCCTTTTCTCTATAAGGTGCTAACTTCTTCAAAGAAACATACTGGTTTAACTCTTTATCCTCAATTGTTAACATCTCCTCTGGTGTTAGCCCAAATCTCTTCGCCTTAACCGGCCTATACTTGAATCTTGTCTTCAAGTCACCAATAGTATCCTCATAGTCCAACTTGTAATATTCTTCCATTAGCTGTTCTTTGACTATCTTCATTCCTGTACTAGGCCACTTCCTCTTCTTCTTCGTCCGCTTACCTTCTTCAGCCACATCATCATCATCACCACGAGGTTCGTCCACATTGTATCTAAGTAATTCATCTTCCTTGTCAAATTCTGGCTTCTCAAGTTTGGCATCATCTTCATCCTTATCACTTCCAAATTCAGGATCCATATCATTTGCCTCATAGTAGTTATCATCGAAAGCCTTGTTCATCTTTCTGTCATGATCACCCGGATCAAATTCCTCCTCCAAATCATCCATATCAAACAAGCATACCTCGTCCTCTCCTATCCCGGCAGTCTCCTTAATCTTCTCAAGCTTCTCCCTCATCTCCTTCTTCTTCAAGTTCTTTAACCGTTTCAACTCCTCTTTTCTCTCCTCTTCCGCTTGAACCATCCTCTTTTCCTTTTTCTCTCTCTCTCTGCAACTTCCTTGCGTTCGCCTTCTTTCTCACCGATCCCTCCACTTTCCTTGAATGTCCCCACACTCGATCACCCCCATTTTCCTCAAATCTAAAATTAAAATCTCTCTCGTAATCCTATTGCCTCTCAATCTCTTCCTCATCCTCCGAAAACTCAACCTCCTCCACATCATCTCTTTTTTGTTTCTTATCATCCCTCCCCATATCGTTCCCAAAATAATCCTTTAAAAACCTGTCATCCTCTCCAAAAGCCTCATCCAACTTCTTAGCAAGCTCCATAGAGACCTCCTCGTCATTACCTAACTCATCCCCTGCTTTCTCATTCACTTTCACCTTAACCAAGTCCTCTTCATCCTCATCCGCCTTATCAGCATTCAAAAATTCCTTTCTCAAATCCTGTTGCTCCTCAAAATATGTCTTCACTTTCTTCTCTTCTTCTTCTTTTTTATCTCCAAACTCCGGACCATCCTCCATCAAATACTTATAAACTACATCCTTCTAGTACTTTGGCTTTTTCTTCTCGTCCTTATACTTCTCCTTCAACACAGAATTTGATTCAGATTCAGATTCAGAATCGAATAACTTAGCATCTTTATTATTCAAAATTGGATCACCTTTCTTTATCTTAAGCAAAGCATCAATTAACTTTAAATTACTCGAAAGGTTCAAATACTCCTCTTCTTCTTCTTCGTCGGCTTCAGAGGAGTCTTCGTTGTCAGAGTCATCGATGAGGCCTTTCTTCTTCAGCTCTTCCAGCCTTTGCAAGTCCTCTCTCTTCTTATTATGCTCGTATCGACGGGCAAATTCCTCATTGATCTCGATCTTGTCCAACTTCTCGATGTCATCATCATCACCCTCGAATAGCTTCAACCCCATATTATTAGTGTTTACAAAGAGCTTCAAAATAACAACCTTCACCAAACTAACAGCTCTCACCAAAATAACAGCTTTCACAAGAAAACTACAGAAACTGAAAGTTCACTATTTTGCCTGCAATTCAACATATAAACAGAAAGTTAACATTAACATATAATGAAACCTATCATGTGCTGCATAAAGAAAAACAAATATACTAAAAAAATGCCAATTTGAATCAACAATATAGTTTAAAAGCTCACATTTTTATTTAGATTAAACTCATAACCATCAAGTCTTTGGACCATATGAGAAATAATAGGGAAGAGCATGTGAGAGCAAACACCAAGAGGAAAAAAAATCAGATTTTTATTCAGTTTAATCACATTTCTCTCTTTTCACCCTTTATATATATCTGAATTCTATGTTGCTCGGACTCTTCGAAAATACTGATGGGTGCGTATCGGATCCTCCAGAAGTAGTGCATTGGATCCTACATAGGTACGACAACATACTTGGAGAGTCCGCACAACATAGACTGAATTAGAGTGTGTGTGTGTGTGTGTGTGTGTGTGTTATGGAGGGGTAGATTCACAGTATTGTCTTCTCAGATACTTCTTTGCAGCAAGTTTTAGAATTTCAGACTGTCATGTTTTGCATAAAAATCAACAAATATACTAAAGAATGTGAAATAGAATCAATAATATAGTAAAGCAAATCACATTTTTATTCAGTTTAATCTTACAACCAAAGCCAAGTCTTTGAACCATATGAAAAGAAGATCACATTTTTATTCAGTTATAATAACAATTCTCTCTTTTCAACCTTTTTATATGACTCTATTAGTGTGTGTGTGTGTGTGTGTGTGTGTTTTGGAGGGGTAGATGCAAAGTAATGTCTTGTCAGATTCTTTTTTTGTAGCAGCTTTCATAAATTCAGACTCTTTCTTCCATACAGTTTACATAATCAAGCTAAACAAGCACAATAAAAGGTTCTTTTCTGGAAATTGTACAAAGATAACAAAATATTATGCAAATTGCAATCTTTTCAGGAGGCGGAAGCTGTAGAGACTCAAATATTTTCGAATAAAATTGAGAGAATACATTGTGAGGATGCAAAGCGAAATAAGAAGAGAAACAAGATTTAGAGAGAGAGCCTGTGTATATTATACCTGTGTAGTTGAATTACGCAGTCAACAGTGTTTGTGGTAGGAGCAGGGCACATATATAATATCTTTCCACCTTTAATTAGACTAGATCTCGGGTTTAGGCAACCCGGTGCACGAGACATTTGTATTTATGGAAGATACGAGAAGAAGATCCCACTCTCGATATGATTTAAATAATCTATCCTAATGCAAGCATTAATGACTGCTTTCAAGGCTCGAAACCGTAACATATAGGTCACACGAAGACAACTTTACCGTTATTCCTGGGTTTCAGCTCTAAATTTTTTAGAAAAAAAGTAAAATATATACAAAGATATCTAAAGTTGCCACGATTTTACAATTAAATACTTTAATTAGGCTTTGTTCCGATTGAACATCTATAGTAGATTCAAAGTGTACCAAACATTCCGTACTACTTAAAAATACCCAAGCTCGCGTCTATTAGTGTGAAAGATTACCTAAGGAAAAAGTAGTATGAAAAATTGTCTAGGAGAAGTGTGAAAATGACATGTTCCAAGTATAAATAATGATTTAATTTGCTAATTATTACACAAATGTCTGTAGGAGGCGTAATCCAAGGCGCAAATACTAATATGGGGGAGAAACCAAAAAAAAAAGTGTATTAATAGACTTGCCATATTGAATATATAAGCAAAATTGTTACATAACAATTAATTCTAAATTACACTTAGATGAAATACTTCAATCAAAAACAAAACAGCAAAATATTATTATCTCACATGTATCTTGAAATTATTTTCTTTATTCCTAATACCAAACAACAGCTAAAAGCAGTAAAACTGTTAGCTTTTTTCATTTATACTAGTTTTAGTATATGTGCCTCGCACGTGCTGCCTAGCAGTTATTGTAAAATTTATATTTAAAATTAAAATAAGATTAAATACCATAAATGTAAAATTAGTCTGAATAATTTATTTCTTAAATATAAGAGTGAACAACAAGAATATTATCATAATTCTATCTTAGAGTGAGTCGAACTAATCTTTTTATTTGACCTCTAACATAAAAAGTCGGAACAACAAAAAAATGGTATTTAACTTGTAAATGCAGCAAAAAATTCCTATAATTGAAAATCTTACTAATACAATTTAGTGTCTAAAATATATCATTAATGTTGTCCATTTAGATCAAAGTTTATTAGAGAAAAGAAGAAGAAACTTAAATAATATGTTGAAGGAGTAAATAGATATGGAAGTTAGAGTATACTTAAGCATTGATAATTGCAAAAATTATCACACTCAAATCTAAAAAAAAAAAAACTTAAAAAAAAAATAGTTGTTCCTTAAGGAAAATCGAACATGTCATACTATTGGCTTATTCATGCAACAAATAGTTATTTGTTCTTTGCATCAAAATTAATATGGACTAAATCATAGCTTGGAAAGGCATGATAAAATTGTAAAGTAGCTTCTTTTTTGTCTAATTGAATATAAATAGATACATTATGTTCGTTGAAAATATAAACCTCCAATCTACTTGATTATTGTAACTCAAAGATTAAAGAAGAATTACCTTTAGAAAATAGTTAATCGGCCTCAATGTTCTATTGACAATGGTGACAATCATATTTGCAAATAATATTTATATAATCAATAAACTCTATTAAAGTACAAAAATTCTTAGCGAAATGTCGTTTGCCTTTTTACCGTTTAAAAATAAAGTTCACATTGAACAAAAATATAATTTAGGTTACTTTCCTAAAAATGTGTATAGCTCAAATAAAAACAGAAAAGGACTACCGACTTTATTTCTATGGTTTTCTATGTATTCTCTTTCAACTAATTCTTTTACATAACAAATTAATGGTTATATTTGGATAAAACTTCTAAACGTAATCTATACTATATTAAAAGCACGAAGGCCCTTAGCGAAATGTCGTTTGCCTTTTTTACCCT